ATTTAAAAATTAAAAAGTTTAAATGTATATGTTAATTTTATCAGTACAATTTCTTTGTTATAATATTGATAAATTGTTCCATGGAAACTTTTCAATGGCAAGCAATAAATCATTGATGTAACAACAATTGTGCTAAAAGGAATGATGGTTATTTTAGCTTATAGCGGTGGGCATTATTTACTTTTACGTCAAACAGAGATTTTAGATAAATATTAACTCCGTATATGCTAAATAACGGATAGCTAAGTGACAAAAATAAACGCTAATATGAACATAAATGTAGTAAATATAGAAATTATAAGACAAAAAAGAAGAGAAAGAAAAAGAATCTATTTGTAAATTATCATTATTGTTATCTTAAATTGACGAAAAATATAGCTTATTACTTTAAGGCTTAGCAATCGTTGAAACAATTAAATGTTGCAAAGGTATACATCGAGTAATGCAAGAACGACTTAATTTATAGTGTAAATAGTTTTATCTTAGCGAAATAATACCAAAAACATTTTAGTAAATTTAAATTTTCAAACGTTCACGCATTGAAAGTCACACGTAAGGCTAATATTCTTACATGATATTTTAGTAATTTTAATTATCTCATATATAATAGATTCGTTAGTTATTTTGCTCTTTTTTTTTGGCATCAAAGAAATTTCAAGAATTAACATGACTGTTGGAGAATTCCCGATCGTTTTCATACAAAATCAACTGAAAATTTTACATTGGTAAAAAAAAAAAACTCAAAAAATAAAAGCATGCAAAGCAAAAATTAAATGAAACGACGAATTGATTTGTAATAAACCTTTTAGCCAGAAAAAGAAGAGGGAGAGAAAGGCAGAGAGTGGGAGAGAGAAGGAGAAAAGGAGAAAAGTACGGAGTGTTAGATAATTGATCGCTCTTGGTTTTGGCTAATATTTTGTCTTACTCAATTTTAATTATAAAAAATTTGCTAAACCATCTTTTTTTAATTGATTTTTTCTCCGAAATTTTGAACTAGAAGAAAATAAAATATTCATTTAGATCAAAGGATATACCGTTAACGGCCGGTTGTAAACCATTGAAAGGTGATGATATTGGTAAACGTCGATTGTCGAGCTCGATTGTTTCCACAGTAAGTTTTGTCAAATCGCCACTAAAACTAAACTGATTGAGTACTTCAAATTTACATTAAATTTCAGAAAACTTTATTTAATTTTAATTAAAATCTAGAATTTAAAATTATTAACAATTATTCTAATATAATTTCAATTACCGTTAAACAAATCCATTTTAGGTTACAAATTAGCATAAAATAAGTATATTAAATTTGAGACAACATTATTTGATTAAAATTTTAATTGGAATCTATAATTCAAAATGGCTGATGAGAAATTGGAACAAATAAAAAATTTGAAGATTACAACATTGTAAAAAAATGAATCATCATTAAGTTAGCAAAAGTTAAATTTTCGAATTTAAGTCTCGTTTTTTCTATTTACTTTTTAATAGTTGACATTTTTTTTCTTGATCAGCTTTGATATGGAATAGGATAAACAAAATCATTTTTAATTAATTACAAATTATTCTATTGCAACGTACTAACCATCTCATTACCATACTATCAACAGAAATAAAACAAAAGAAGAAAAAATACTGAATATGTCATTTGGTATGATTTCAATATAACAGTATGATTGTTTTATTGATTTCAGATACTTTTTATTTTAGCTATTAAAAAGAATAATCATTTTAAGTTAACTTTTAATTGCTTCATTTTTATTCGGTCATTTATTATTTATGAATGGATTAATTTCGTTGTTACATTTGAAAATCCCTTTTTATTTTATTTTATTTTCTTTAAATTTCCCATATTTTCTACTTCTAAAGCTAATTGCACTATAGTATAGCTATTAAAAAATGAATTGAATTGGTTATAATTTTCGTTTTTCCCTTATCTTCCAACATTTTTTTTTTCATTTCATCAATTTTTTTGTCTGATTTTAGTTTAATTGTACTTATTTTTTTTCTCTGGAAAAAGAAAAAATCATTTGTATTATTTGGCTTAGTAAAATCTTCATTATCATTGATTAATCAATTTATCACCTGAGCAACTAAATAATGATAAATTCGATTATTCGTTTGAGAAAAATTACAGACAATAGCTCTCATTTGTTTTATTAACTATTACCACTGAGAATTTTAAACCAGGTCAAAAAAATAATTTCAACTTTTAAAGTAATTTATTTTAATCATTCATTATTATTACGACATACACATTATTGTATTACTAATAGTAATGTCAGTTGTATTAACTCTTTTTAATCTGAATAAAAAGTCGTTGATTAATTATCTGAGTTATTTATTGTAGCAATTAACAATGTAAATCGTTATGTAAATTAATGAATTTCATGTTCAACCTATAATAATCGTTAATAATTAGCACTGTATAATTGTTGTATTACATTCATACTTTTTAATCTTAGCTAAACAAATATAATTTTATGTTTGTGTTTATTTCATAATTTAATACATAATTTTAAGTTAATATTTTCATTTCATCAAATTTTATTCTTTTCGTTTTTATTCATCCAATAATACATTTATTACGAATAATTTAGTAGTTTTAAATTAACTTTCTTAAAATTTAATTAAGAACTTACGATTTGGGATAGATTGTAAAAGCTGTTTGATCAGTAATTATTTTTTCATCAACATTTGATGTTTCCGATGTTTTTTGAAGCCAAATTTGAGCAATTTCATTTATTTGTTGAGCGTATTCACAGCAATTATCCCATAGCGTTATCGCAGAATGTGATTCATCAATTATTTGATTATCGTTATCATTATCATTACCTATGGATAAACAAAAAAAGATAATGTAATCAGTTGGATATTTTTTTTTCCTTTTTCCCTTTAATCCTATTAAAATTTAATTCGATTTCACAATAATGCTAATTTATTAAGTTTAATAGTCGCCTACATTGATTATCATTAATTATGCATTAATTGATATCAAAATGCATTAGGCAAAAATATTGTACAACAATAACTAAGTTAATTCAATTTTATCGAATATTTCACTGCAAAATATGCTTTAAATTAACCTACCTAAGTATGGTTCCATTTACTATCATCACAAATCTATTTTACTTTACCTTTCTATGCTAACAAATGTCAACATGTTGTTTGCTAAAAGGGAACTAACCTGGTTTATTCTCCAAAACCGGATATGAAGTTATGCTACCATCAATACTTGGTGATAATTTCGTCATATCATTACGAACTGAACTTTTAATGTCAAATGTAAATTCGTAAAAATTCGACAATTTGTTCCTTTTAACCGGAAGATTCTTATCCGCAAATATATCATCACTATCACCGATATCACTATCATCGGCACTATTATCAACATTCTCATTTCTCTCAAAATCTTCGTTTGATTCATACTCGATATCATTTTTATCATTCATATTCGGATAATATATTGTATGCTCTTTGAAATTTGTTAAATCTCGAATATCAGCATAATGATGCTCATCATCGGTATTAGCAATCATTTTTGTAATGAAAAAATATCTCTCTTTTTCGAAATCGATTAATTTTTCTGGTATTTGATCCAACATATTTAGGGAATACGATCGACGTGGTAGCAAATTAATCAAAATGGAATATTGATTCTTTTCTTGATATGATAAAAATTTATCATTATTCCGTTTATCGGTTTCATTCCTTATTTTTACCATATTTTCATCATCGGTTACTTTTTTGAAAGCATTTAAAAATGTTGTCGGACGTTTACATTTCATCGTTTCTTCCCTGATATCATTCTTCATTTGTTTTTTTCCATCCATATGCAAATTACTGATATGCTGTTGATTGTTAGTGATTAATGATTTGTTGCTATGATTATTATGTGAGGTGGAAAATAATGGTACCGTAACTTGAGCATAAATTTCATTATGTAAACCATCATTTCCATGAACATCCAATGCTACGTCATCTGCGCATCGAATCCATTCATCATCCGACGTATCACTTCCACTATTCAATATTGATTGCTTCATTGCTTCTGGCTTCGATGCATACTTACGACAACCGGGTGAGGAGCATCTACAAAGACATTTGATAAGTTTTAAATTGAACAGAAAATGAAATTGTAAGGAAACATATTGGTATTGAAGTACTTATTCAATGTAATTTTATTTTCAATGTCAGCATTTTTTTTACGAATACAAACGAAATTATCGTCATTGATAAATTTATAATCATTTCAAAACAACATCTCATAATATTAACTATCTTTTTATTTTTTATTTTTGTTTGATCAATTTACTGAAACCATTCATCTATTAAATTTGCTCAGCAATGTAAAGTTTTAGGAAGTAAACTTAAAAATTTTGCAAGCAAATTTAATTAGAATGTAAATAAATGTAAAACCTAATGTATGATAACCTTTTTTTTTTTTGAAAGTTAATAATAAATTAGCAAACCTGTTATAATGATTCTGTATAACGCAATCCACGTATGACGTAATCATGTGATCATGACAACTAATACTTTGACGCATAGCTATTCCGGAATGATCCATTGGTGACGGTACTCTCGTAATCCAACCCATTTCAGTTTCCCTATAAAGCTATCTGATAATTGGATTAATTTTTTTTTTAAATGGCTATGCAAGTAGATAAGAATGGGAGTATGAATAATATTTAAATGTTATAATCATACTTCTATTTTCTAAAACTTTTTAAATTTATTGAAAAGAGAGATTATGCAAATACTCTTAATATATTAAAGAAAAGGAATTTTAATGAGCTATAGTTTATGAATTGCATGAATAAAAACAATCTTACGATAATATCGATTAAACATCTCAAATTGTTTCTTTGTTCGAGAAGATATGATAAATTCATCTTGCTTTATCGTTTATCACCAGGGAGATAAAGTAAGATGAATTTATGATATAACAGAACTTCTAACTGTAAATAATTTTTCCAAAAAAATTTTGATTATATGAGTAGCAAAATAAGATTGAATTTCTGTGGAAGATTAAGTAATGATTCATCAATAATTTAATTTAATTGCTATATAAAGAAAAGAAGAACCGAACCATAAATCCAAATTTCCAAGTGATTTTGATATATTTACAGCTGTTGGTGCTACATTACGATTCCCACGTGAAGCTTCAGAATTTTCACAGAATGTTTCTTTTGCAAAATTTATCAATGATTCTGGTG